GAATCCCAAAGGGGCAGAAGGCCAGAGGAGTGGAGAGGCGGATGATGTGACCCTGTGATAGTCAGAGCAGGATTGCAGCTACTAAGACAAAACCCTGGATGGGGTTAGACACGTGAGACAGCCTAAGGGGCGGGTGGGGGATATAGCTCACTGTGGCTACAGAAGGACAGCCCTCTCAGACCAGAGCTGACACCATCAGTAAACAGGAAATTCCTCCAGCCACAGCTTCCTGTTCTTCTTGCAAGAGTTTGGAGATCTTTGAGGAGGAATCAGAGGAAGACTTCGTGTTTGGCAACCTCGGGATGCCTCACCGGCTTCCTACCTGGTAGTGCCTCAGGTTTTGCAGCCTCGGGCAAGTGTGTACCCTACAACCACTTGGGTCCCCCAGCTCGGGTCCAGACCTGAGAGAGAACCTCAAACCTGATTGGCAGGAAGAGGAGTTTCCCAGCAGGATTGGGTGGGGCCTTCAGCCTGTTCTCTTGTTCCTTTGCCCTGGTGGTCTCTTAATTGCTTCACCCACTCTTGCAGTTATGTCGCCAAGCTGTCTCCAGGGACCTCTTTGTTCTCGGTGGTCTTACGCACTCTGTGGCAATGAAAAGACACATGAGACTCTCTTCTCAGCCCTCTCCTCGCCTCCCTTCCCTCCATGCAGGCTCCAAGTCAAGGCTGTGAAGAATGAGTACATGCACAGGTGAGATCAGAGCCTCAGGGAGGTGGGGGAACTGAGACCCTCCTCCTGTAGACCCTCACAAGGGCACGTGATAGAAGGAAAGCTAGAGCTTTAGCCTAAAGGAGAAACTGCCTGCATGAAATTGAGGACGTGGCTGCTCCTAGGTATGGATAAGGGAGACAGGTTTTCTTTGGTTTGGTTTGGTTGGTTTTTGGTGTTTCAAGACATGGTTTCTCTGTGTAGTTCTGGCTGCCCTAGAACTCACTCTGTATACCAGGCTGTCCTCAAACTCACAGAGAGCCACCCAAGTGCTGGGATTAAAGGCGTGTGCCCAGCTGCGGATATGAGAACAGTCAGAGGTGTCTGGAAGAGTCCAGACTGAACATGGCCATCAGAGTAGACCACAAGAGCAAAGAAAGGAGAACGAGAGAGGAAGAGAGGAGAGGGGTCAGCAGGCATGTCAGCCATTTGTTTCTTTGGGATATGACATCACCTATCTCTTGCTAGCTCTGTCACTACTTGCTGCTTAGAAAGCCATTTTACTTCTCAGTGGTGGAGCCTCACCGTCATTATTTACCTGGCCTGCTACCCAGCTAGTACTCAAAACTGTGGCCTTTGAAGGGATTTGGGGGCTGTAAGCTGATCTTAGGGTTCTTCTGGGTCAAGAGGTGAGGAATCAGACATTATGTAGGATGGGATAGGTAAAACAGCCTCACTTGCTCCTGGGAAAGGGAGAGACATGCTTGTTCATCTCTCTTTCTGGCGTTCCTGTATGAGTCAGCGTCTTGCTCAGTCAGTCTGCTTCTTGTGTAAGCCTGAAGCCAGCTTCACCTCCCATGATAACTCCTCTTGTCTCCTAGAACTGACCTGAACAGTCCCAAGAGGGTCTGCTTGGGGCCATGTGCCCATGCAGGGACTGGGGGCAATCTGTTGAGAATCCTGTTCTAGACATACATACCTAGAGAGCTGGGAGGTGGGACTGTCCCAGAATAAAGAAGGTGTCTTTCCTAGGAGAATAAATGTGCTGGGAAGGTGCCACTGTGGGGTGGTAGCTTTTGTCAAAGGCATCTACCACATTTTCCCAATTCTAGTTTCCCTTGGGTTAAATGTGCTGGTAGCTAGGGGGCACAGGTTTTGGACCCAGATGGTCTGATTCGAATTCTGCTTCTATCACTTTCTACTGTGTGACGTTGAATAGGTTCCTTTAACCTCTCAGTACCTAAGTCTGTGACAATTAAATGATGATTCAATACACGAAAGGCATGAAGAATCATGCCTGGTATGAGCTAGGTACTTCATAAATCTTATTTTTATTACCAGTGCCTGGGATCCCTAGTATAAGAAATGCCTGGGAGGGAGCTGGAGAGATGATTCAAAGGTTAAGAACACTGGCTCTTCTCACAAAGCTCCTGAGTTCAATTCCCAGCAACCACACGGTGGCTCATAACCATCTATAGTGAGATCTGCTGCATAAACAACAAATAAATAAATCTTAAAAAAAGAAAAAGAAATGTCTGGGAAAACAAAACAAAACACTGCTCTCCATTCACGCTCACCCCTGTTTCCTCATGATATCTGGTGCATTCAGTGAAGCAGTAACAAATCTCAGAGTTCTGTGGAAGCCTTGAGCATTACAGACGTTGATAGGGGAGTCTTGGCCTGCAATGTACAGAAGCTGTAGCCATCAGTGACCTCTAGAGGAACAGAACCAATAGGGTGAACACATATTAAAAGGAGATTCACCAGACTGGCTTGCACAGCACAGGCTAGGAGGTCCAGCAAAGGCTGTTTGCATTCTGGAGAATCTGAAAACCCAATTGCTCCTCAGTCTGAGAAGCTGCGTGTCTCAGCCTTCCCAATCTGGCACTGAAAGCCTGGAGTATCCCGGGAGAGTCCCCGGCCTTCAGTCCACATTTGAAGGCTGAGGAAGCTGCGCTCTGGCGTCAAGCAAAGACAGTGGCAGCAACAGAGCAGGTGCACTCACCAGCAGGGATTGAAGGTGAGCAGGTGAAGAAGAGTACTGTTTTGTTTTTTTCCCTCCAAGCTCTTCAAACCTGGGCCACTGCCAGGGGCCGCTGCCCACTCTAAAGGAGGGTTGTCTGCACTCGGTTAATCATTCCAGGAAATACTGTCAGGGGCCTGCCCAGAGGTGTGTCTGTTAGTTGATCCCAGATCCAATCAAGTTCACAGCCAAGAAGAACCATTACAGAAGGAAATGCACACTCCCGTGCGAAGAAATGAAACCTAAACTGTAAATTAAGACCTAGTCAGAAGTTAACAAAGCCCACAATCCATATCATAATAATTTCATGTCTTAGATGCATTTTGTCATGTTGAAAATGTGTATGGAGCGGCTGAGGCTCAACATACATTTCCCTCACATGCACACGGCCTGGATTCAATCTCCAGCACTGCAGTACAAACAAATGAACACACACACACACACCACAGAAGCACAGGCACAGTCTCACTCTGAAGCCCGTTCTAAAACTCACTGAATAGCCAGGCGATGGTGGCGCATGCCTTTAATCCCAGCACTTGGGAGACAGAGGCAGGTGGATCTCTGTGAGTTCAAGACTAGCCTGGATATCCAGGACCACCAGGGCTACACACAGAGAAACTCTGTCTCCGGAAAACCAAAACCAAAATAAAATAAAATAAAATAAAATTCACCACATAGTATAAGCTGCCCTCAAACTCTTGGTAATCCTCCTGCCTCAGATTCCATGGGGATTATAGAGTCTTGTGTCTTTTATTTATAAAAATGGCAAATACTAATCCCAGAGGAAAACCAGAGTTTAGAACAAGTAGAACAGCGATCAAGTCTGTGGTTGGACCACCATTTTCCATACAACAAGATGGTCCCTCCAGCTTTGCTTATAATAATTATAAAATGAAAATACTCAGGTAGGTATGAAGATCAGGCCAGTGGAATTAAGCAATCAGTGAAAAAAGAGCTAAGTGCCTGCGGTGGTTAATTTTAGGTGTTGACTTGTCCAGATTAAGAAATAGAGAAATTTGGACAGCTTTGAGGGTGTGTCTGTGAGGATGTTTCTGAAGAATTGTGGCTTGTGCATCTGACTGGACTTGCCCTCAGTGTGGGTAGGCACCGTCCAACCGGAGAATAACCACAAGGAGATTGATGTCTCCCTCCAAAAGCCAGGGCATATTCAGCTCTTGCAGTGGTCATTGGAGTCCAAGTTGTTTGGTAGCCAGACTTACACCAACAGCTTTCTCCTTGGCTTCTTCAGTCTTTGACCTCAAAACTGAAAGCACATCTTCAGTTTCCCTTGCACTGAGGACTTGAGACTTGGACTGATATATGTTACAAGGGTCCTTAGGTCCCCAGATTACAGATCTGCCCTGAGATTTCCCAGATATTATAATGTGTGGACTAGTTGTCCAGTTAAACCCTCTCTCATCTGTCACAAAAGGTCCCTCTGGTCTGATTCTCTGGAGAACTCTCTCAGGTAGGATTACCACTGCTGTGAAGACACATCATGATCAAGACAACTGATAAAAGAGAGAATTTACTTGGGATCTTGTTTACAGTTTCATAGGATAAGTCCATGACCATCATGGCAAGAAATGTGGCAGCAGGCAGGTAGGCAGGTATGGCGCCAGAACAACAGCTGAGAGCTTTACATCCTGATCCAAAAGTTGGCAGCAGAGAGAAAGGACACTGGGCCTGGTGTGGACTTTCGAAACCTCAAAGCTCACCCCCAGTGACACACCTCTTCCAACAAGGCCACGCCTTCTAGTCCTCCCCAAACAACTCCACAACGGATGACCAAGCATTCAAATAGATGAACCTGTGAGGGCCGTTCTCATTCAAACCACAGCAAGAACTGTCACTAAAGTCATGCTGATACAAAAGTGTTACACAAAAACACCTCCCTAAAATCGTAAGTCACTAAGAATTTTTAAAAACTTTTTATTGATTCTTTGTGAGTTTCACACCATGTACCCAAACCTGCTCATCTCTCGGTCCCTTCATAGCCATCCTTCGCCCCTTCAACCTTCCCCCAAATAAAAAACACATGCACAGACAAAAACAAACAAACAAAGAAACAAACAAACACAGGAGTGCTATAAACACCTGCTTGCCAGAGGAGGTCACCCAGGAGTTCATAACCTCGAGGCTAGCCTGCAGCGGGAACCACCATAGTGTGCCCCACAAGGTGCGACTCTCCTACCCTTACCATGGGGCGAAGGGCAGGTAAGGTCTGTGGCATCTTTCCCTGCCCATGCTGTGTGGCATGGCAGAAGGCAGTTCTCTGTCTGTCTTCCTGATCCCATGCTGAGCTACAGATTTGATTTGATTTGATTTGTATGCGTCCTAGGCATAAAACAACTTCAGTCACCTAGCCAAGATTTAAGCTAGGATGACCAAAGGACCGCCATCTGTTCTGCCCCTGACTGATATTAGAACACCACCACCAATAAGGTGTCTCTGTCCATTGCTGGGGGGGGGGGGGAGAGGAAGAATTTTTAATCCTGTTCTTGGTTTCAACTTGGTTTGAGTTTTGGATTTTCGAGACGGGATCTCATGTCGCCCAGGCTGTCCTTGAATTTGCTGTACAAGCAAGGGTGATTTCAACCTTCTGAGCTCCAGGTTTCATCTCCAGAGAGGAAGAGACTACAAGTGTGGACCTCCAAGCATTGCTTATGTGGAGCTGGAGCTCAGACCCAGAGCCTCATACGTCGCACAAGTATTTTAAAGTGGATACTACCTGTACAGTTTATCTGTGAGCTCGGGCATTAACATCTCAGAACCATCGCCTGCTTGTGTTATCTGCGTGTTTGTCTCACTCTCTCTTGCACACTGGTGCCCCAAGGGCTAGGCTTGGTAGTTGCTTTGTTTTGTTTCTCTGACCCACTCCTAAGCAGAAACAAAGATTCAAAAGCTAGACAAAATTTCCTTTACGTGTGTGTGCAGAACCAGTTATTCTTCTCTGAGAGGTAAACTAAGACGCCCTTGTAGAAAGGAAGGAGACAGAGTGGTGCCAGGAGAAGGTCGGATTAGCTGCTTGACAGATCAGAGATAGGCGAGGGAGGAGAACAAAGAACATGAGTTTGCCGGTATGGCTTCATGGCCAGCTTTGCAGCTGATGGCTACCTGCTGCTCAACAGCCCTGGGTACCTATGAGGGTACCTCAGTCACAAGTGAGGGCTGTTCCCACTTCATATGTCATTTGCAAGCCAATGAGGGCCTCTGGTCTTTCACCAAATGAGCAGCAGATCAAGAGTTCCACAATCCCTATCTTATTGTTTGATAATCTGTTATAACATCTTACAGAGCCCAGGAACACAGTTATTTGTAGTTATTAGTAGTTTATTATAAAAGATGCAGCCCAGGGCAATGACACATGCCTGTAATCCCAACATTCAGGGAGGCAGAGGCAGGTGGATCACTGTGAGTTCCAGGTCAGCCTGATCTACAAAGCGAGGTCAGGACAGCCAAGGCTACACAGGGAAACTCCGTCTCAAAAAACCAAAAAGAAGGAGAAGAAGGAGAAGCAGAAGAAGAGGCAGAGGCAGAGGAGGAGGAGGAGGAGGAGGAGGAGGAGGAGGAGGAGGAGGAGGAAGAGATACAAATGGGGCTAGACTGTGACTCAGCTGGTAATGTGCTTGCCTAGCACTCCCAACGCCTTGAGTTTGATCTCCAGCACTGCATAAACTGGTATGGTGGTGTACTTTTGTAATCCCAGCACTCAGCAATGAGTGCAGGGCAATCAGCTGTTCAAGTCCATCTTCGGCTGTATAAATCTGAGGCCAGCTGGATTGGATGAAATCCTGCCTCAAACTAAACAAAGCGTATAAAGGATCCACGCAGAGGTACATAGGGTAAGGTGGTGGTGTTCACCAGCCTGGACTGTCTCAGACCCCTCACTTAGTTTTTGTATAGAATCTCTGTTATACACACCTGCTTGATTAAATCATCAGCATTCGATGAGTGAACTTAATCTCGAGCCCTACCTTCCTCTCCAGAGGTTATGCTAAACACTCCAATCCTCTTAATCACGTGGTTGGTTTCTCTAGTCCAACCAGGTACTTAGAAGAGGAGCTGGGTAGGACCAGTTTTTTTTGAAGCTTTCTTTTCTCTGCAACATTCCTCAACCCCCATCCCCCTCAAGCTCCTTGGGAAGATGGGACACTAGAACTTCCCTGTGGAACTGTCCTCAGGAACTGGGTTAATCAACAGTTCCCGGTTCAGGACTGTGCAGACCACAAATAAGGTTTTATTCCTAATTGCTAGTACAGAGGCCCTAAAATACTTTTAATGAATACTTTTAACATGCTACTTTGGTAGCTTCAGGGATGGGACATGGTTGGAAGTTTAGAACAGGGATGGCGGCGTCTGCGCGGCTGGAGGCCGGCCTGGCCCGGGTGCTCTTCTACCCGCTGCTGCTCTACATGGTGTTCGAGTGTTCCGCGGGAGGGTGCACGGCTGGGCCCACCCGGACTGGTACCACATTGACACCACGGTGCTGCTGGGCGCGCTGCTATTGCGGAGAATGAAACACCAGCCGGTACTGGACGAGAATGTACGCCGGATGATCACCAGGAACGAGAACTTTGAGACTAGATTCCTGTGCAACACCTCGAAGGTGCATCAAAAAACTGGAGCCCAGAAGAAGCTATAGAAGCTATGCCAAAACCCGGTCACACATTTCCATCAGGCCCAATCAGTTGGAAGTTCTCAAAGAATTCCACAAGGAGACTGCTGCAAGGGCAGCAGAGAACTAACTGCCGACATCTCTCACGCCGACATATTAAGAATATGAAATCTGTGGCTGACAAAGAACCCGGCTCTCCCCGAAATACAGTAAAAAGTTTAAAGGACAAGGGGCTTAAGCCAGGATAGCACCGCAAATGTCAGGGTAGTAAAGTACCTCCTTTGCCTGCCTTCCTGAAATAACACTTGGATGGCTGCAGAGGACAAGATTGTCTGGCTAAATGTTACTTTCTTCAACAGGATCAAGGACATACTAATTTTAACAGAATATTGTGTATCTAATATTTTGTGTACCATAACTCAAAGACGTTGATGCTAGGAAAGGAAAGAAGAAGTACTTAGATCTGTTGATACTGTAAGACCTGGGGTCTCACAGCTCAGGAGTTCAAGATCACGCCCTTTCCAGAAACTCCCCCAGACCAAGACTCGTTGCAAAAGAAAGAGGTTTATTTACCATTGCACAATGGGGTCACCCCTGCCGGTCAGCAAAGAGTGGCACCGGGAGACAAAGGCCTTTAGGTTTTTAAAAGAAAAATTGCGGGAGATTTGAAGTTGCAGTCTTGGCAATTTAGGATTGGATGAGGAAGCTATAAAGTAAGATAATTGGTTAGTCTTAGGTGCTCAAGCCTGTCCAGTCCTGCCAAGGGTGGATGCAGCTGCAATTGAAGGTGGGGGTGGTTAGCTCATCCTTGAAGATTAGGGGCTACAGACTTTTGGCTGGAGGTCAAAAGCTACTCAGAAGAAGTCTAGGTTCGTTGCTAAGAAATGCTATCTCAAAGACAAGGGTCTGGTCCTTCTTTTGCTGAGTGAAGGTCATTGCTTGCTTGCCTTTTTTATATCTGTCCTCACAGATAGGGGCACATTCCTCCATTCTCTGGAAAGGTACTAAGAGGCTTTAGCTTAACCTGGACCTAAAACTCAAAACTATAGGCTTTAGAAGACATATAGGTTACAAAGTTAGCCTAACCCTTTCAATACTATCAGAATCCCAATTTCAATTGTATGACTTGGCAAAATGCTTGCAGCATGTATAAGGCCCTGAAGTTGGTCCCTAGCACTTCCAAATGTAAAAATAAAAACAATTCCTGTGGGATTCCCCTCGAAGGAGGAGGAAGTTTAGAACATTCCGCCGGTTGCAGTGGCACAGGCCTGTAATCCCACCACTTGGAGAGGCAGAGGCAGGTGGATTTCTGTGAGTTCAGGGCCAGTCTAGTCTACGAAGTGAGTCCAGAGTAGCCAAGGCTACCCAGAGAAACCCTGTCTCAAAGAAGGAGGGTTGTTTAGACCACTCAACCCACTCTGCCTGGAGAAGGGACAGAGGTTGGAGATTGAATTTGAACAATGATTTAAATCAGTCATGCATACCTAATGACGCCTCTATAAAAACTCCCGAATGACAGGATTTGGAAAGTTTCTGGGTAAACATATGTAGGTGCTGGAAAGGGTGTTGGATGACTTTTCCTGAGGAGACATAAACATCTATTTATCCAGACAGAGGGCTCATCAAAGAGAGGAGCCTGTGTGCAGGCCTCACCACTTTTGGGTGGGATCTTGTGAATCTTGTGAATTTCAGGAGCTTCCTAGGACTTGTTAGTTACTTACTTCCTGAGCATTGTAAGTTTTGTTAACTTCTTGAATGTCAACAAAGCTCCCTCCAGGGTGGAATATTGCAAATCAGAGGAAACTGCTTTACCACAAAAGACATGGAAGCAGAAGCTGGCCGAAGCTGCCCTCCAGACCTCCTACCTTACACTGTGCATCTGAGTTGAATCTTTTATATTCAACTGCTAATAATAAAGTGGTTTTCTAGGTTCTGTGAGTCGTTCTAGTATTTGAAGGGGGAAGTTGTAGGGATGTCCAATTTCAAAGTCATGCTTGTAGACTTAAATCACTGGTGTCTCAAGTGATAGTCATCATGAGGAGCTGAACCCTTAAGCCTGAGGAGCTTGGACCAAACTCAGACTCTGTGTTAGAACTGAATCGAACTGTTGAACTTTTCTGGTTGATGTCTACTGTGAAGCAAGGTATGGGGTAAGTGGTGGTTTGAATGAGAATGTTCCTGATAGGCTCAGGCGTTTGAACACTGGGCACCCTTGGTGAAGCTATTTGTGTAGTTTTGGATGGTGTGGCCTTTCTGAAAAAAGTGTGTGCAGGCTTTGAGGTTTCAAAAGGCGCATACCATTTCCACTGTGTCCTCTACCACGTTTGAAGTGCAAAATCCGAATTCTCAGCTGTTGCAGCCACCACATCTGCCTGCTGCCACACTTCCCTGTCACAGTGGTGATGGACTCTGATCCCTATGGAGCCATAAGCCCAGATAAACACGCTCTATAAGTTGTGTTGGTCATAGTATTTTATCACACTAACAGAAAAGTAACAAATGTGTGACGGCGCCCTAAAACCATACATGAGTTGCCTAAATCCAGTTTTCAGGAGGAACTAAAAGACGTTTTCTGCCCCTTTCTTTTGAATCACTCAACCCCTAGATGTCTGCAGGAGCTATACTCTCATCCTAAGCATCTGTCATTCTTCATCTCCCACATTCTTCCCAAGATAGTGAGGTTTCTCTGTCTTCTCATTTCTGTTTAGTCCTATAACCTATAAGCTTTCTCAGGAAATCTGTTCCAGCTCTTTGCCTTTTTTCCTGGAATTAAAAAAAAAGATTTATTTTTATTTAGTTATTATATATGTGTATATATATATATATATATATATATATATATATATGTATATGTATGAGTTCTCTCTCTCTCTGCATGTTCACCTGCATGCCAGAAGATAGCATCAGATCCCAGTTTAGATGGTTGGGAGCCACCATGTGGTTGTTGGGAATCAAACTCAGGACCTCTAGAAGAGCAGTCAGTGCTCTTAACCACTGAGCCATCTTTCCAGTCTCCATCTCCTGGAAATTTATCTGTCTTTCCTTTTTTTTCAAAGCCAATAATCCCACCTTTCTAGCAGTACATCTACTGCTTATTGTACTGTTCAAGCAAATAGGGAGCTTCAAACCACAACTGAAGTCTCCCCAAACAAGAATAATTGCCACAAACAAATCTTGTCTCATTGCCAGAAGTAGGTAGGTACCCACTCAAACTCATTGGAGGCAAAATGAGAAATTTATTTTATGGTATAAGTTGTCCCAGGAAATTTGATGCTACAGTGCTTGCCTATATCCAGGTTTGCAAAAATAGAAAAAGGAGGAAGAAGAGGAAGAGGAGGAGAAGAAAGAGAAGAAGGAGGAAGAAGAAAAAGAGGAGGATATAACCTCCCCCCCCCAAAAAAAAATATCATCAAGTGGCACTTAAACTACAGGACAAAGATCAAAACTACACTTTCAGATCCTGCCTCTTCATTCTTCAGTGCCACATCATTTTTTTAAAAAACATATCTCTCCTATAGTGTCCTCATCCATCTTGACATACTGGCTTTCTCTACTTCTCTGCCCACTTGATACAAATGGCCCCATTTAAATCCCAAGATGTGCACATCTTCAGCTCAAGCAACATCAGAGGCCAAATAAGACAACAGATTTCTAATGACAGAAACCCAAAGAACAAACTCATTCAGGACTATCCATTTAGGCTACAAATAGCAACTAAATATCTATCTGTAACTAGCTGTTTCTTTGTGAAACAAGGTTGTACCTGTGTCAAAGGAATAGGTTTCAAAGACATGTGACAGTGTCCTGGTAGAGAGTCCCAAACCTCAAAGCAGCTGTACTATAGCACAAGTGCTTACTGGAATTATGCATCATCAGTCTACAGAGAACCAGTAGGAATAGTGGGGTCTGCAGTGAAGGGAGCAGAGTGCACCCTATAGGACCACCCAGTCAATTATCTTTAGTGGTTGGAGCAACTTCCAGGAGCAGCTGGAGATGCATAGTGACTGTTTGTATACACTTGGGTTGACACCGGAAGTGGAAAAGTAGGAAGTATACTGGGAAGCCACTGAGCACGAACAGGAAGATGTACAAGAATTCTTTCTGGGGCTGGCCAATGATGGGTGCCAGCACCAGGTAGAGAGACACCAGGACCATGATGGCGGGAATGAAGGTGGGAACCTGCAGAGGGCACAAAGAAGTTATTTGACCCCTGAGACTGGAATGGTGAGGGAGGGGTGTCATTGAGTTCTGTCCTACCAACCTACCTTTCATTTATTTCCACTTGCCACTAGTGCCCCTCTTCCAGGTTCTGCTGGAATGCTAGGCTGGGCCAGGGGATCCACCCACTGGACTACAGCTGGCTCTTTAAGAAGCAGAGTCTGGAGCACAGACTTGGCCTCTCTGTGCTATGTGGCCTCTGCATTTGTGTTCCATCTTTCTCCCTCGTGGTTCTCCAGAGGAAAAATGGTCAATACACCTTACCACCCTCAAAAATGTGCAGTGTCCTACCAAATACAATGACAATAGCAGCCACTGACATTCCTTGTCGAGGCCTGGGATTCTCAACCTGTGGGTCTCAACCCCTTTGGGGATTGTATATCAAATATTTTTGTTATGATTTATAAGAGTAGCAAAATTACAGTTATGAAGTAGCAATGAAAATAATTTTATGGCTGGGGGTCACCACAACATGAGGAACTGTATTAAAGGGTCACAACATTAAGAAGGTTGAGAGCCACTGTTCTAGGCCTTGAAGGAGACAGTGGCCCAAAGATATAATTCATAAAGGAGCCTAGATTGAAAAATGCCCAGTGGCTGTCCTGAAGGTTACCTTGTAAGCGTGGGGAAGATTCTTTGTCTTTATTCGCAAATACAGGAGACAGCCAAAGGTGGTTCCAGAGATGAGCCAGGACATAAAGCTGCAGTGGAAAAATGAAAAGTATAAATGAGGCGGTCTCTGATGGAACCTGCCTAGACCGGGACAAAATGTTCAAAGAGGAGGAGGAGCATTTGGTTTTCTTTAGAAGGACACCCAATAGCTGTAAAGATGGCTCAGTGGTTAAGAGCATCCGCTCCTCTCACAGAAGATACAGGTTCATGTCCCAACACCCATATGGTGGCTCACAACCACCCTTAACTCCAGTTCCAAGAGATCTAATGTCCTCTTCTGTTCTCTGTGGGAACCAGGCACAAATGTGGCACACAAACATACATGCAAACAAAACACTTAATACACATAAAATAAAATCAATAAATCTTAATTAAAAAAAAAAAAGCCTAGGGATGACCCAGTGAGTCACAAAATAAAAAAAACATGACATTGGGATAGGAAGTTGGTAAAGGAAGGAGTGCAGCTTATGGGAAGAGGAAGGTAGTGGGCCAGAATGTATTTTATACATATGTGAAATTATCAAAGAATAATTGTTTCTCTGTGTAGCCTTGGCTGTCCTGGATTCCCTTTGTAGAACAGGCTGGCCTCAAACTCACAGCAATCCACCTGCCTCTGCCTCCCTGAGTGTTGGGATTACAGGTGTGTGCCACCATGCTGGGCTCTAAAATAAAATCTTTTATAAAGGAGAGCATGGTGGGATCTCAGAGAGGCCTCTGCTCACCGGAGAGACAGCTCACTGGAAAAGAGAGTTCTGCTCCCAACCCATCTTTCCCTAAGGGTTGGTGATGTTATGTGTATGCTGCTAAACACACAATAAACCCTTGACTCTGTTCTTTCCAAGGTCTGTAGTCTGAGCGGCTGCTGCCATTCTAATAAAGTTCCACCTGAGTGTCTGGAGACATAGCTAGATCAGTAAAGAGCTTGCTACACAAGCGCAAAGAACCCATGTAGAATATTCAGGTAGGGTGCTATTGGGCAATCCCAATACTGTGAAGGCAGATAAAAGTGGATGCCTGGAGCTCAGTGGCCAGGCAGCCTGGTCTACTTGGCTAGATTTACACTTGGGTGGCAAAGGCAGAAATATTGCCGAAAGTTCTAGGCCAACTTGGTCTATGTAGCATGTTCGCCACCAGCCAGAGCTACATAGTGAGACACTATATGTGCTGGCTAGTTTTATGTCAACTTGACACAAGCCAGAGTTAGCTGAAAGGAGGGAGCCTCAATTGAGAAAATGCCTCCATAAGATCTGGCTGTAGGGCATTTTCTTAATTAATGATTGATAGGGGAGGACCCTGCCCATTCTGGGTGGTTCTATCCCTGGGCTGGTGGTCCTGGGTTCTATAAGAAAGCAGGCTCAGCAAGTTATGAGAAGCAAGCCAGTAAGCAGCACCCTCCACGGCCTCTGCATCAGCTTCTCTGTCTAGGTTCCTGCCCTGTTTGAGTTCCCGTCCTGACTTCCTTCAGTGACAGACTAAAAGAGTCAAAGTGTAAACCCTTTCTTTCCCAACTTGCTTCTGGTCATTGTGTTTGATCACAGCAATAGAAACTCTAACGAGGACATTGTTATAGAAAAATGTGAATGGCATATAAGAAATGACACCCAGGTTTGGTCCCCTGTCCTCCACACGCACATATGAATGAGTATACACACGCACACACACACACACACACACACACACACACACACACACACGCCTGCATACACATGGATACATACACAAATTCTATCTAACTTGGCAAACAAGGTCCAAAACAAGCCATCCTTTGAGTTGATCAAGACTGTAAAGCGTTAGGTCCTAACTAAATGGATCAGTCCAGGCTCTGTACTTGCTCTGTACTGAGACATTCTAGTCACATCCCCATTCTCTACCTGAAGACACCTTACCTCTCTGCCCCACCCCCCCCCCCCCCCCCCCCCCCCAGACCCACAGTGGGTTAGATTTTGTTATCACTGGTATAATGATGTCCATCTTTCTTATGGGGGAAAAAATGAAAATACAACATTATTTGTGACTTGTTCTTAACAGTCACGTCAGGCACTGAACGTCCCATCTTAGATTAGACAAGAGAGCAAGGGAACATGTGATGCCTGAGACATTGCTAGACCTCCCTCCATACCCAGATACTGTGCTCAACTGGTAATTGAAGAATCAACCCTGCTTCAAACGAGCTTAGAAAATTACAAATGGATATCACAACAGCCTGTGATTTCTGTCTTGAGGAAAATATTAAGAGGGAGTCAGAACATCCCCTTCCCTTGGCAAAATCATCCACTGCGCCAAACAGCTTGATGTGATTCTGCGCTGAGTTCCGGAGAATTAAATGGGGTAGAGTCCAGAGCACAGGCCTGGACTACAAAGGGAAAAATCACGCCGTTTCCAACGACTCCCCAGCGTCACAATGCCTCCATGTCCTTTAACATCGTCTTAGCTGCAGAATGAAGGACTAAGAAAAAAGTGACAGTGACATCACAGCCTTAGGTTATCTCGTGATGGAATATCTGTCTTGCTGCATTTAGGGAGAGGAGAGCCACATTTAATTTTGGAAACATAACAGAGGAAATGGTTGAAATGTGTGTAGATGTGAGGTCTTTGAGCCTGGGCTTTCAGAAATGCATCATACACACACACACACATACGTACACACACGTACATATGTGTGTGTGTGTGTGTGTGTGTGTATGTATATATATGTGGAGCTCAAGAGGCATGGATATACTTCTGTGTGTGTGTGTATGTGTGTGTGTGTGTGCAGAAAGAAAGATAAACAGGCAGGCAGGCAGACAGACAGATATTTTTTGGATGTAAAATATTGCTCCATGGGCTCATGTGTTTGAAACATCTGGAGATGCTGTTTTGGGAGATTACTGGAATGGAGGGGATGGAAGCACAATGAAGAAACGAGTCTCCAGGTGGGTGAGTGGCCTTGAGATTTATGACACTCAACTTTTTGTCCTCTCTCTGCTTCCTGGTCCACTGAGATGTGAACTAGCTACTTGTTTCTTGTCAGACACTAGTGTGCATGTATCTCTCTGTGTGTGCGCATATGTGTGTGTGCATGTATGGGTACGCTTGCACACCCATGTGCACTTTCACTTACAAGATCCAGAAAACACATTTATATGTGCATATGTGTACAAGTTTGTACATGTAAGGATATGTAGATACATAGATGTCTAGGGCACAGATACCAGCCTGTGAAAATCTTACTCACCTCAGGAAGTTCACAAAGAGGCTGAAGCTTCCTGGAAATGCCAAGACCAAAGCCACAGCTGTGGTGAAGATCAGTGCTGGGACTGGTGTGAGTCTATTCACATGAATCATCGACATGATTTGGGGCTGCAAAACATGGCATGAGAGGCTATAGAAAAGCCACAGTAAGTACTCTGTCCCCTGTCATGCTCTAGACAGCAGTGTGTGCAAACGGATGGTCATTAGTACCATAGCTTTCTTGGGTTACTAAGGTACACTGGATTTTTATCCTCCAAATATTCTCTCCCTCTCTTTGCCTCTTGTGTCAGGAATAGCATTTTCAGTAATTCGTGTGGACTCGATTGCTTTATTCACCCAATAAAACATGAGCATAAGTGGCAAGCAAAGACCTAGATCCCTGGAAGAGGAACAGACTCGTTCCAAAAATAAGAATAACTGAAATCAGAAGGGCTACGGCTAACACTAGGAGCAACAATTAAATGCTGTTGTAAGGCACTGGGATCTGGGGTTGTCTATTATTCAATATTACTGTTACAGTCAAAGCTGACACGGGAGGAAAGAGTCTCTGAGGGAAAAGGTCACTATGTGTACTCTGGGCTGCCTCCCTGTAGCCTCTGAACTCTTGCTATACACGGTAGGACTTTATCACTCACTTCTTCTAATCCACATAATCCAGGACCATGACTGTCCTGAAATCTGGAAGACACTAGGAAGATGGCAGGAAGGCATGGAATGCTCTGTTCCATCCTCAGAAGAAAAGATGGTCACATCCGATTGGGTTAGTTCAGCCTTGGGCTAAATGCTAGGCTCAGGCAAGAGAAAGTGTAAGTGAAAGGTGTCTCAGGAGCCCTCTTGCAGCCCTCACCACCTTGCTTGACCGCCTCTTACCATGTGACCTTCTCTTGCGGCTGCATAGCACACTCTGCTGCCGCTGAAGAACACCGCATTGACAGTACCAAAGGTCGAAAGTGCAACAGCCACAGGCACCAGCCAGGCCAAGGATCCCAGAACCTGGTTCCTAGAACAACAGAGGGATTGGTGAAAAGAACTCCAACAGTTAACTTGGAAAGGGGCAGGGAGGCCTCCTTGGAAATAGAGAAAGCAATGCATTTAAAGGCAAGTTCAAATTCACATAGCGCACCATCCTTCCCTATTCCCTAAATGTCTGTCTGGTGTCCAAGGGACATACCACGTGACTCACTCACCCCCAGGTCACAGCTATGGCATCAGAGGAGAGAATCTCAGAGGGTGACATAACCAGCAGGTAGCTGATATTGACCAGGACATAGAGGATGGTGACCAGGGGGATGGCAATCATCACTGCCCACACCAGGTTCTGCTGCAAGGTCAGGGAGAAGAGGGCAAATGTTAGCTGATGTGGTCTTTCTCAGCCTCCAGAACAAATTCAGAACTATGCTATTCACATGGCACTGTGCCAGGCCCTGGGGAATGGAAGCACTGTGCTTTTCTCCCCATGAGATCATGACCCCTGTTGTAGGGGCACACAATCAGACAGGCATGCAGGAAATGACAGGAGGGACTAGACAGGTGGCAGTAGAGATAACAGAGGGAATGGTGGAGGCATCACCAAAGCTTCCAGAATGAAGAAGGCCTTCACCTGGGCTCTCTCTGAGGAGTGGAAGTGACCGGGGGAAGATGTGAAGGAGAATTTCTTGCAGAGGAAATCAGAAGAGAGAGAAAGCTAAAGATCTCACTAGTCCACTCTGCAACAGCTAGGATTTGCCCCTCATGGAAACACCCACTTCTGATTAGCACATCTTCTCCTCCTCAGACTTAAAGAAAGAACAAGTTCCAAAGCTTTCTGTCAGGACTGAGCTCTGCCCATAGAAATTACTGAAAGTGGAGAGGGAAAGGAAAGAAGAGGGACACAGAGAATGGGGCTGTCATCTCGACCTAGTTCAGCTCTTGGCAACCAGCCCCAGTGTAGATGCTGTCTTTGCTCCCTGTGTGCCCTTGTCCATTGGCAGGCTCTGTCCTTTCTGGCCTCCAGCTTCATGCACATACTATTTCTGCAGAGCTGTGGCTAGACTCCAGTCTCCTCTCCCAGGAGGACTTGCTTGCCTGTTCTGCTTTGTTATCACCCTCCCAAGAGAACTATATTGCAAACTAGGGAAAATGCAGGAAATGAGGCAGCAACAGACTCTTGTACATGAGTCCTCCCAGGCCCTTCCAGCTTTTAAATCTGGGACTCTCGAGTTCAAATGAAAGTTGTCTTAACCATAGAATGGCTATAGTAGCTACTGCTTTACCACCCAGGGGCCTCTGCCTAGGCCCCCACAAGTCTACCTGTAGCCAAGGTGCTCTCATTTTCTCAGGCCTCACTGGGATGCCCTCAGCACATTGCATGACCTAACCTCACAGGTATTGAGGGCAAGAAACTAAGTATACTTTTTGAATTTGACCTCTCCTCAGGCAACTTTCCTAGCAGTAATGAGCTGTGGCAATGGAAGAGCCCTGGGTTGGATCATAGACATGTTTCTGGCCAATATATACCACAAGAAAGGTGAGATATTCTGATTTCACTCTGCAGGCCCTGAATTCTTGATTCAAATCCCAAGGAGTCTGCCTATAAGGGTGACCACGTTTTGGCACAGTTTCTACAGTTTCTTTGGTGGAGGTGAAGAGAGTTTGAAATAAATATACCCTTTATCTACCCATTAGAGCAAAATGAGGCAGAATTTTAAATACTGGCATTCAGATGACTGGCTTACATTTTGCTTTGAAATCCACATTAAAAAAAAAAAAAAGCCTCAGCTCTAGCAAAGATCATCAAACTACTGCCATAGACCATATGGCCTGATTTTTGTCAATAAAGCTTTATTGAAACACAGCAATGTTCCTTTATTTATCTATGGCAGTTTTCCTGCTACCACAACAGCATTGAGTAGTGGTGACAGGGACTAACACATACAGGACCTAAAATCTTAACTCTTGGCTCCTTCCTAGAGAAGTTTCACTGATAACCACTGCAACTATGGGACCTTGTCTTCAACTTCAGGGGCCAACTTCTTGGGACCCTGCTCTTTCCTTAACCTAGTTGAAAGCCCAGGGTCTAGATTGGAAAGAGAGCTCTGCTACTGTAAGGCAACCCTATGTACATGCTACCCATTTACTTGAGAGTTTCCCAAGTATTATCTACCAAGAATGTACCAGTGAAACCTCAGAACCTTATGAGGAAGTGAGGGCAGTTCTTATGATGGTCCCTTTTCATAGGCAGAGAATTAGTAACATGAAATTATAACAAGAAATTAAAACCACCAGGCATGGCGGTGTGGTCCTGTGTGGTCCACCATTAAGGAGCTAGAGATAGGAAGATCAGAAGTTCAAGAGCATTTTTAGCCACAGAACAAGTTCAAGGCCCACCTGGGCTGCAATGAGACTCTTGTCTCAAAGGAAAAAAATAAAAATGAGGATGAACTCCTAGGACTCCTAGCATGCATTCTCTCTCATCTATCTCTGTATCTCTTTCCTCTGTCTCTATTTTCTCTCTGTCTTTCTTCGCTCTTTTTTCTGTTTCTTCTCTCTGACTTTCTGTTCCCTCTGCCTCTGTCTGTTTTTCCCTGTCTCTATCTCTGTGTGGTTCTATCTCTTTCATTTGTCTCTTTCTCTTCTGTCTCCATCTCTCTCTACTTTCTCTATCTGTTTCTCCTCTCCTCCCTCCTCTGTTCTGGCACTTTTGTCTCTAAGTTGCCATTCCCTTCCCAAGCTCCCCTCCAGTGAGCCTTTGCAGAGATTCTGAAAGCCAGAATGTCCCTAGCCAGCCCAGTGGGGACAGCAGAAGACTTGCAGTTCCCATTCTGTGAGAATCTGAAACTCTTGCAAGGAAAAAAGAAAATAAACAACATCTCAGAAAATATGTTTGTGACAAAGAGTCAGCATATTAATAACTGAAAATCTAAAAGCCACAACTGAGTCCCAGGTAGCCCTGCAGACTGGTTAGCACTCTGGTTATCCAGGCCAGGCTCGAAGGTAGGGGGAGCAGGCATGACTTGGTCTGTTCCTTATGCCAAAGTATGCTATGTCCTCAAATGGCTCCCAGACTTCAGAAACTATGAGTTATGTATCTACTGCAATGTTCTAGAGGGAACAATCCAGGAGGTAGCCAACAGAATCAATAAGAATGCCAGCAGTACGAATTCAAAATAATTTCCCTTTTGCAGACTTCAGTTTTCCCTTAAAAGAAAGTTGAATGTTGATGGTTAATCTCAAGGGCCAGAAAGATGAGACCATGGGGTTTGACACTATGAAGTACTCTGCCTTATCTCGAAGCCATAGTTAAAATCCCCTAAACTACTCAAGGCAGAAGGGCTGCCATGCATGTCCTACGAGTACAACAAGGGAGTCTGTTAGACTCCTCACGGTCTCAGCCATTTGAGTGGTGGGAACTCCAGTTCCTGGAGCTGCAGAGGTTAAAAGGTTCACCCACACAACAGCACTCTCAACTTACCTTTGGGTTCTTAAGCTCCTCTGCCACCGTATTGATATTAGCCCAGCCATCAAAGGACCAGAGCCCCTGGTAGAAAGCCATGCCAATGCGCCCAGCCTGGTTTGTTGTGTTGTGGAAGGCAGACAGCAGGAAATCTGTGCGACTGTAGCCCTGGGCCAGCACCACGACCCCACCCACTACAATGACTATCAGTGAGAACACTTTGGCAGCCATGCACACGTTCATCACCACGGTGGACATCCGTGAGCTCCAGAAGTTGATCAGCAGCAGAAGCAGGATGCAGAAAGAGGCCACAATCTTGACTGGGGACTGGGGGAGTGAGGAGCAGCCTGGGTAGAAGGGAGCCAGCACATACTCAGCGAAGCTCAGAGAGATGGCGGCGATGGCAGCTGGTCTGCCCACTAGAACGAACATGTAGATAACCAGGAAGGCGGGCAGAGAGCCAAAGGTTCGCAAAATGTAGGCATAGTCTCCCCCAGATTCAGGAACCAGGCTGCCCATTTCAGCATAGCACAGGGAACCCAGCAGGGCCAGGAGGCCACAGATTGCCCAGACAATAAGACTGGCTCCGGCACTGCCCATGTAAACCAAGACCCCTTGTGGTGACATGAAGATGCCAGAACCAATCATAGAGCCAGCTGTTATGGACACTGCACTCCACAGACCAATCTCCCTCTTCAGCCTCAACCCTGGCTCCCCACTCCTGTGCTCTTGCTTTGCAGGCTTCTCACTGCCATCTCTCTCCTCACTTCTCTCCATCTCGAAACTTCAGCAGATACTGCCTCTGGTTGGTGACAAGTACAGGCGTTGGTACCTATTGTCTGTGGGTTTCCGGGAGGCATTAATGATTACAGTAGTGGAAGGAGTCCAAGCCAGAGGGCAAAGATTCTGGGTGTGGTCTGGAAGGAGCTGATCAAGCAAGGAGTAGTTCCACCGAAGCTCAATACAGACAGCCTTAGGAGCCACGGTCAGAATTAGCCAAGAAAGGTCCAGGAGAAATAGGGTGGAAATCGCTACTGAAAGCTGAGGTGTGGCTTGGTGAGAGGGTACTTGCTCAGCACGTGCAAGTTCCATCCCTAGCCCTACAGATGGGGGGAAGGATGAAAGAGAGAGAGGGCAAGAGGGGGAAAAGGAGAGGAAGGAGGGAGAGAAGGAAGGAAGAGATTTCCATTGCCCAGTTCCACAGCAACAATGGGGAATGAGAGCTGGGTGAGCACTCTGTATCTGCAGCAGGACAGCCAAGCATCATTCTTTCTTCTCACATCTTCTGCCCTTCTCCCACCCCCTTCTGCTTTTATGAGCCCCCTTCCACTTTCCCGTCACACGTAGAGCCTGTACTCTTAGCCATGTTCTACCTTCTTGCCAGGGAACAAGCTCCATCCTGCATCTTCTTCACCAGTCCTCTTGGTTGTGGACTTGGTTCTTTGGACTAGGCTTTATGGAATTGACTTTAAGGCTGTATTGGAATCCTTGCTTTTTGTTAGACTTCATAAAGATGTCTCAGACTTCCCGTGTCTTTAGAAGTCAATCAACCAAAACTACATATGTGTAAAAAATTTGGTAAGTAAACCTGCACGCCAAATAAAGCATAAATTGACAGAGTACACAGTTCTAGGATGAGACTGCTAATTAAATTATATTTAATAATACTAATTTCTTTGATCTATAAGTAATATTTATTTCAGGATATTATATGTAGCTTTTTTTATTGATCATCCCTTTTGCTTTAAAACTACTGAGTAGTGGGACTTTTCTAGTGTTGCTATACGAAGGTAAAGGAATTTATCAGAATTGTGGGTAAAGATGTTGACTCCAAAAGTAGGCATAAAGGTGCTTACAGTCTTCCCATCAGGCTCTTCTACCTCAAGTTAGCCACACGGACAAATTGGATCTCATGAATGTGTCAATAAATCTCTCAACGGACACCAGGACCTTTACTGCCATGGTTCCTGAGTGTCCCTCCTTTCACAAATGTTGAAAGCATAACCTCCTAAACATAGATAAAGGATGTATTCAAGTGGCTTACAGGCTGTGGTCCTCAAACTATTCCACAAAATACAAACAAAAGAACATTGCCAAACTCATTCTGTGTGGCCACAGCCATCCTAATGCCTAAACTACACAAAGACTCAGTGAAGAAAGAAAATTTCAGACCAATCTCCCTTATGAACATTGATGTAAAAATATGCAATAAAAATACTCACAAACTGAATCCAAGAGCATATCAAAAACATCATTCACTGTTACAATCTGCGTTAACTTCATAGCCCCTCCATTGAGACTTACATTAGTTTTTAGCGTAACTGTATAGCGCCTCTGTTAACATCTGCTTTTATCTTCAGCAGAACAACAGGCATTTTACTTTTAAGTCTCCATTTTGATCATAAGGTAAAATTAAGTGAAAGTTCTCAGGCTCTGCCTACCTGGAAACTTGAATAGCCTTTTACTTACAATTCAATACTTGTTGAATGTCCTACTTGAATTAATAATACATGTTCTACTTAAACAAAACCACAATACCCTGCTATGCTCCTTTCTCCTGGAATAGTGGGAAAGTGGAAACTCCCCAAGCCTAAATCCTAACCAATCAGCTCAAGATGCTTTGTCTAGCTATCTGGATACAATGTACTCGGAGCAAAATCTTTCTTGTATTTAGCTCATAAAAATGATGTAATGCTGTCCTCCCCTTGGTACCCACCTGGTTACCTGGTTGTTACCTGGTTTCGGTTTTTTTGTATAAAAGGCCTACCTAAGAAATGGGAGTCACAGTCTGGCTCCCAGGCCCAGACTGTGTCCCTGACTGGTCACTTTTTGTTCATCATTCAATAAAGTTCTTTTAATCTGAGTCTGGTGTCCAAGCGGTCGGTGTGCGGCCATTCATGAACCCATAACATCCACCATGATCAAGTAGACTTCATCCCAGAGATGCAGGGATGGTTCAACATATAAAAACCTATCAATGTAATCTACCACATAACAAACTAAAAGAAAAAACACACACACACATGATCGTCTCAGTAGATGCTGAAAAAGCCTTTGATAGAATCCAGCAACCCTTCTTGTTAAAAAGTTAGAGAGATCAGGGATACAAGGTGCACACCTAAACACAATAAAAGCAATATAGAGCAAGCTAATTGCCAACACCAAATTAAATGCAGAGAAACTTAAAGAAGTTCCACTAAAATCAGGGACAAGACAAGGCTGCCCACTATCTATCTCCATATCTATTCAATATAGTACTTGACGTTCTAGCTAGAGTAATAAGACAGCCAAAGGAGGTCAAGGGGATAAAAAATAGAAAAGAAAAAGTATTGCTATTGGCAGATGATATGATAGCATATATAAGTGACCCCCAAAATTCTACCCGAGAGCAGTGCAGTGGTGGTATACACCTTTGAACCCAGAATTTGGAAGGCAGGGCAGGCAGATCTCTGTGAGTTCGAGGCCAGCCTGGTTTACAGAGTGAGTTCCAGGCCAGCCAATGCTACAGAAACACTGTCTCAAAAAATAAAAACAAACATACAAAAATCTACCCGAGAACTCCAACAGCTGATAAACAACTTTATCAAAGTTAGATGGGATTGTTTTAGCTTTTCTGTTTTTTGTTTTGTTTTGTTTTGTTTGTTTTTTCTATATGAAATTGAGGATTGCTCTTTCAGGATCTATAAAGAATTGTGTTGAGATTTTGATGGGAATTGCATTGAATCTGTAGATCGCTTTTGGTAGGATGGCCATTTTTACTATGTAAATCCTAACAATCCATGAGCATAAGAAAATTTTCCATCTTCTGATATTTTCTTCAATTTCTGTCTTCAAAGACTTGAAGTTCTTGTCATACAGGTCTTTCACTTGTTTGATTAGAGTTACACCAATATTATATATTATTTGTGGCTATTGTGAAGAGTCTTGTTTCTCTAATTTTTTTCCTCAGCCCAGTTATCATTTTTTAAAAAGGAAGGCTACTGATTTTTTTTTTTAGTTAATTTTGTACCCAGCCACTTTGATAAAGTTGTATCACCATCCTTGATTTCAAGTGGTTCTACAGAGCAATGGTAATAAAACCCACATGGTATTGGCATAAAAACAGGCAGGTTGATCAATGGAACCAAATAAAAGATCCAGAAATAACCCCACATATCTATGGACCTGATTTTTGACAAAGAAAAAAAAATCTTCAACAAATGGTGCTGGTCTAACTGGGTGTCAATCATGTAAAAGAATGCATATAGATCCATATCTATCACTCTGCACAAAGCTCAAGTGCAAGTGGATCAAAGACCTTAACATAAAACTAGATGCACTAAATCTAATAGAAGAGAAAGTGGGGAATAGCCTTGAACTCGTGGACATAGGAGACAACTTCCTGAAGAGAACACCAACAGCTCAGGTTCTAAGATCAACAATTAATAAATAGGACCTCTTGCAAACGAAAAGCTTCTGTAAAACAAAAGACATTGTCAATAGGACAAAATGGCAGACCACAGATTGGGAAAAGCTCTTCACCAACCCTACATCTAACAGAGGGCAAATCTACTCCTAAAGATAAAGGGTCTACCCGTTTATGAACACAGATTTAGAGATTTCATTCCATGGTCAGGTAGGCCCATGCTTTAGGGTCTGTGATGAGGCATCACCTCATAACAGAAAGTTTATAGAAGAGCATAATCAGTCCTATGAGAGGGGCTGAGAGTCCAGTGATGCTTTTGAAGGCACACTCCTGATACCCTAGCTTCCCTCAATAGCAAGCAGCTTTTAAATACTCTAAGCTGCCTATCAAGACTTTAACACACAGGCTTTTAGGTCAGGTGCAATGGACAAAGTTTGGCAACTCAGCTCATCAGAACTGAAAACAGTGTTCACACAAAAACATCACATGATTTCTCACAGCAGCACACTCTTCTTTCTGTCATTGTCACTTTGTTTTGTTTGAGATAAGCTCTTTCTATAGGTAGCCCAGGCTAGCGTCAGACTGACACTCCCCCTGTTTCTGACTACCTGATGACAAGTCTGTACCACTTGGCCTGGCATAACAGCACTACTCTATGGAAACAGCTCCGATTTATATGAAGTGATAAACGGATAAATGTAATGTAGCATATCTGTGTGGTAGAATGTAACCAATGCGTGGAAAGACTGGGCTATGGATGCATGCAACTCCATAGACAGACTTTGAAGACATTATCCTAAAAACATCAGACACACAGGCTGAGGGTGCAACACAGTTGACAGTCATTGTCTAGCAAGTGTGGATCTCCGGTCTCTGGCTCCAGTACCAAGCATGGCGGCATATACCCGTTATCCTGGACCCTTGTGTAGTTAGGAGTTCAAGGGCATCCTTGGCTACATAGCTGGTTCGAGGACAGCCTGGACTGCCGGAGATCCTGTTTAAAAAACAAACAAACAAAACAAAAATCAAACAAGCAGAGAGGAAGACTCAAAAGGCTCCATTGTATTATAGCTCTGTTTGTAAAAAGTGTCTGGGAATAAGCCAAGTGAAACAACATGGATTAAAGAAGTTTCCTTAGAGGAAAATGATAAAAATCTTCCGGCTACTGTTTGTGGCTGTACAACACTGTGATAATTTTTAATAGCACACTGAAATCGATCTGGGTCAGTAGCTCAATAGTAGAGCCTCTGCTCAGCATGTGTGAACCTGGGTTCAATTCCTGGAACTACTACACAAACCAGAAAAAAACAACCAAAAATTGCAAAAGAACTAAAACTCCCACTGAACTTACATTAAAAGTTATTATAAAAAG